TTATGTATAAAAGAACTCACAGAGCCAAGGCATTATGCACTAGGCCTGTACAGTCTTCATCAGATGGGGGTGCTAGGGCTTAAAGGAAGTAGACACACACCTCTATCCCTAACCCAGAAGCAATCTAATAGACAGAATCTAGAAGCAACCTAGATTCCCCTCAACTAAAGAATCGATGGAAAAAATGTAGTACAATGGAAAAACACAATGGAATCTTGAAATTTGTAGGCAAATGGATGGAACTAGAAGAAACCATCCTGAGTGAGGTAACCAGTCACAAAAAGATGAACATGGTATATACTCACTCATATATGGATTTTAGACATAGAGCAAAGGATTACCAGCCTACAATTCACACTGCCAGAAAAGCTAGGAAACAAGAAGGACTCCAGAGAAGGGGAAAGGGACAAGATCTCCCAAGAAAATTGGAAACATAGAGGGAGGGAGAGGGAGTTAGGAGAGAGAGAAGGGAAGAAAACGTGGGGAGAGTAGGATATGAGGGAACAGGAAGATTGAGACAGGGAAAGGATAGAAAAGAACAAGAAAAGAGAGCCATAATAGAGGGAGCCATTATAGGTTTTAAGAACAATCTGGCAGTAGGGAACTGCCCAGAGACCTACAAGGATGAGCTCAACTAACAATCTAAGCAATAGTGGAGAGGCTACCTTAAATGTCCTTCCCCTATGAGATTAACTACCTTATATGGCATCCTAGAGCCTTCATCTGGTACCTGATGGAAATAGAAGCAGAGACCCACAGCTAAATACTAGCCAAACTACTGGAATCCTGTTACAGAGAAGGAGGAGTTATGAGCAAAGGGGTCAAGACCAGGCTGTACAAACCCACAGAAACAGCTGACCTGAACAAGGGGGAGCTCATGGGCTCCAGTCTGGTTAATGGGAAACCAGCATAAGACAGACCCAGCCACCCTGAGTGTGGTGTTAGTTAGGAGGACTGGTGCCTCTGATAGTAGAATAGTATTTATCCCTAGTATAAGAATGGACTTTGTGAGCCCATTCTACATAGAGGGATACTTGCTCAGCCTAGACACATGGGGAGGGCCTAGGCCCTGCTGCAAATGATATGACAGACTTTGAAGACTCCCCATGGAAGGCCTCACTCTCCCTGGGGAGCTGGGGTTTGATGGGGGTGACAGGAGAGGATGGGAGAGTGAGGGAACTGGGCTTGACAGGTAAAACAACCTTGTTTCAAATGTAAATAAATAAAAAAGAAAACCCACCTGCAAATGACAAATTATTTTCCTCAAAGGGAGTCCCTCTGGGGATACAAACTACTATTAAGGGTAGGCTGCATGTTCAGCAGTAGGTGGCCAACAGAAAACAAATTTGATGGCATCTTTAGAGGTTCCTTGTTCCATGTCATGTGAAAGACTTTTCCTTTTATTTCTAAATTTGTTTTATTTGTATTTGTTTATTAGCTTATAGTTTTGAACTCTCTTTTTACCCTGCTAGTCCTTGCACACATGTTATGCCTTCAACTTTAGTGTCTTTATGCAATAACTGAATGTGCTAACAAATGAGTCTCTGCTCCTGTATCTGTTTCTTGTGCCTTTTCTTTGGCTCCTTTCCTCCTGTTCATCTGTTTTGTCCTATTTCATTGTGTTATCTTTTATTTTACCTTACTTTATTTTATTATCCCTTAGAAGCCAGTTTGTTTTCTAATGAAAGACAGAAATGGAGTGGATCCAGATAGGAGGGGAGGTAGGGAGGGATTGGGAGAAGTAGAGGGAGGAAGCTGTAATAATATAAAAGCTATTTCCTTTTCAGTAAAAGGAAAAATAAAGTGCAAATAACAATCTAATCTTATGTAACCAGTAGAAAAACATCTTTTCAAGTAAATTGAGTATTAAATTGTAGAGAAGAAAAATTTCTTCTAGACAGATGTGTAAGCTCCCTAAAACTGAGGCCATGAATGCTACCATACATCTAGTATTTATTACCACATAAAATATTACCACAGGATTTTTTAAAGTGTGGCAAAATGGCATTTAATATTTATTTACTTATTTTGGTTTTTTGAGACAGGGTTTCTCTGTATTGTTTTGGAGCCTGTCCTGGAACTTGCTCTATAGACCAGGATGGCCTCGAACTCACAGAGATCCACCTACCTCTGCCTCCTGAGTGCTGGGATTAAAGGCATTTGCCACCAATGTCCAGTACCATTTAAGCTTTTTAACTTAATAGGTTTTACGTTTAAAGTGACAAACTACTATTTCATGTATTTTTTTATATTTTTAAGATTTGTTTTGACATTTATGTGTGTGTGTGTGTGTGTGTTTGTGTGTGTGTGTTTGCCATGTGTGTGCAGGTGCCTCAAGAGACCTTAAAAGTGTATAAGATTCCCCTGGAGCTAATGTTACAAGCAGTTGTAAGCTACAAAATGTGGGTATTGTTATCCTCTGACATGCTCTGAGTCATCTCCCTAGCCCCCATTGTACATATATATATATTTTTTTTTTAATGAAATTCTATGAGCTGGGCATGGTGGCACATACCATTAATCTCAGCATTCAGGAGGAAGAGGCAGACAGATCTCTGTGAGTTTTAGGGCAGCCTGGTCTACAAAGCAAGTACAACCAGGGATGATAAAACGAAAAAAAAATATCTTGTCTCAAAATAGGAAGGAGGAGGAAGGGAAGGAGGAGAAGAAGGATTAGAAGAAGGTGGAGGAGGAGGAGGAAGAGGAAGTAAGGAAGAAAGAAAGAAAGAAAGGAAGGAAGGAAGGAAGGAAGGAAGGAAAAAATTATGATTTTGTAAATAAATCGCAACACAAGCATATGGTTCTAATTGTATGGCTTTTGAATCAAATAAAATTACTTTAATATATGAACATTTGCCAGGTATGGTAGTATAGACCTTTAATTCCTGCACTCATGAGGCAGAAGCATGTGGATCTCTGTGAGTTCAAGTCCAGCCTAGCCTGTAGGGAGCCGTCCCTGCATTCTCCATTACAAGATGGCACCTGCATCCAGCTGGTGTTGAGAGTAAACAAGTCAATGCGCAGGTGCAGGGTGATTTTTCCCTCCCTTAGCCTCTGCCTCTTCCGTGGCGTCATATGGGCCGATGGGCTGCAGCCAATCAGGAGGTGACACGTCCCAGGCGAAGGTTGTAAACCTATATAAGGGTTGGGTTTTGGATGTTTGGCATCTCCGCTCTGTAAGCTTATGCTCTCCCTCTCAAGATGCATTAAAGCTTTACTGCAGAAGGATCCTGAGTGTGCCGCGTCGTTCTTGCTGGCGAGACGGTAGAGCGGGACACTAGCCTGTACTGGTAGATCCTGCAAGTTCTAGACCCAGAGCTACATAGTTAAATTCTGCCTTCAAAAACAAATAAGCCAAATAAGCGTGTCCAATAAAACTCAGTTATAATAAGGTGTGGTCTAGAAGTAAAGTGAATAAGGACATCACCTTTAAACTCCAAATTCCAGAATTAAAACCTTAGGCCTGTCATTTTTAAGGATGTACTCTTCCCTTGAGTTATCATTAATATTTTTTTCAGTTAGCATACAAAGAAGTAAATTTCATTGTGATTAACAGCATATGCTATAGTTTAAGTATAAGTTTGTCTTTTGTGTTTCTTCTACTCTGTTAAGTGGGCGTAATTGTCATACATACATGATGGTACTATAAAAAATAGATAAATTTGAAAATCCATATTAAGCCCCTCATATATTTATGCTGAACAGATGACAGCTATTTCTTTTGTATCATTCTGATTATTCAAATATGTGGATGTGAAATTGCCTCTAGAAACTAGACCTCAGAATGAATGAGTAAATAATGATGTATATTTAGCCTCAGGATTGTGTTTCTATTCTAACCTTTAATCTTACAAACTTATTAATAACTCATTTTGTAATTCCTAACCAATTTACAATACTCTGTATTAGTCACTTCTTTCAACATTGGTATAGGAGGACATTGACAAAAATGTTGTTCTCACTTAGTGAAGGGAAAAACATTGTAATTATATGCTTTTCTAGCATTACTATTATATAAAGAGAAAAAAGTAAACAATGCACCAAACAGAATCCCTTTCTCCTAAAATATAAAAAAATACACCTAATTGTGTAGAAACCGCATTTATAAATATATAAATTGTTATGAGTTATAATATTCTTTTATTTTTCAAAGCTATGAGAAGTAGCCAGTGTTAGTGGATTCAATATCCTTATAAGTGGATTTTAACAGTTATATTACAGGGAAATGTGGGTACTGTTAGGCTATTACAACTAGAATTGGCTTATTGAAGAGACAGTTCAAGGTTGTATGGCTTACTGTCCCCTTTCTCTGACCTCACATCTCTGTTGTAAACATAGTAACTATCGTAGTTACTATCTACTCTACTACCTTAAAATAACCTTGCTAATTGCTTTTTATTTGAACATGGGAAGTTAAATAGAATTACTCTGAGCATCTTGTTTTGGGTTTCAGTCTTCTCACATAAAATAGTCTAATTTCTTTTTCTTTTTTCCTTTTCTTTTTTCTTTCTTCTTTTCTTATTATTTTTCCTTAAGCTAGTCTTATTTCAATCAGCCTCACCTTTCTTGTTGATAATATATGAGGTTTTCCAGCCTTTGAAATTCAAAACTAATCATTGCTCACTTAGACACTGTCAATTTTCTCTGTGACCACATTAGAGACTCACAACTGAAAACAAGGCCACAGATTCCTTTTAAATGAAGGCTAAAATGGAAGGTATGAGTTTAATTTACATGCTATTCAATAAAGTGTGCAGAAAGCACACTTTTCCCCAAACACTTGCAAGAAGACATAGAAAATGCAAACTATAAGAGCTGAGTTTTCTTTACTCCATGAAGACTAGAGTAGGATATGTTGTTCCAAGTGAATTTCTTGAAAAGTTATTTTCAGAGTGAGACGGTGGGTACAGTGATTGTAATGATGCTACCATTAATCCCTAAAGCATTGAGAACTCACTATCAGCAGTGCATATAGCTTCAGGTTAATAAAGCACACACAGTTCCAAATAAAAAACACTTTATTACTTTATAATTACAAAACTATCTTTTTAATTCCTCCTTTTGGTGGTCCCTTCCTCTTCCTTAGTTAGTCTACATACAGGCATGATAAAAGGACCACCACTTCCTTCTCTTGCATGCATACCAAATGTCTTTGTAAAATTCAGACTCAAAATACCAGTGAATTGTCACTCTGAGAAACTAAGGTGCCCCTTGCTTTTAAATCCCCTATAAGAATACTCAAAATAATATCCATAAAGTTCAGAAAAAATAAGACATGCTCATATTCTTGTCATATTTATTCACAATATGATGATACTTCTCTCTTTCTAATGCAATTCTGTGACTTATGATAACTGAAAACACCTTGAGATTTTGCTTGGTGACATGTATTAATACTGAAGAATTTAAAAGGGGACTATTTTTTTAAAACAAGAAACCTACATTTACTAAATTGTGGCTCAGCTTTTTATAGCTTTCCAATTATGAGATTTGCATGGCTTACATTAAGCAATAAAATTAACTTGAAATAATGAAATGTTGGACTTCTCAGCAGGACTATGCAGATCTTTACAGTATTGGGAGAACATATTTATCATAGAAGATTTTTTTGATGAACCTAAGAAAATTGTGTTACAATGATCTTTATCTCCTGACCTAATACATACAAAACCATAAGTAGAGAGAATTAATAGTATAAGCATGTCATGTATACTTAATCCTGAGCCATTATTTATCCTCTCTGATATTACACTTATGCATTTGTACTTGCATTTCCACATTTATTGTCACTTCTATTAGAAACCTAAGATGAGATGTATGTATGTAAAAATACATAGAAAATTACCAGCTCAGAAAATGATAGACATCTATAAACGTTGAAAGAGTAGATTTTCATGCCCTACGTTCAGTGCTGATTGGTTGCTTTAACTTTTTATGTCACTTTGCTCTGTTTAATGTCTTGTACATGAAAATTTTACTCCACTCAGAGATAAAATTATTCCATGGAAGACATGTACTTCTCTGTAAAGATGAATATATATCTTGCATCTCAGTATTTTTCTATTTACAGAATTCAGTTTTAAATACATGTATTTAATTTCTATTTGGTTGGAAACATCTTTAAAAACTTGATCTGGGTCTTGTAAATAACAACATGCCATAAATTTTAAATTAGAAGCAGATGAATCTCATTTTCCTTACTTTTTCCACAGTTTTTCCACATTGTGCCTCTATCATCAGTGGAGGCACAACCCTGTGACCACAACCATCATACAGTAAAATTCATCTCTGCTATTTCCAGTGTTCAATTAAAGAAACTATTTGCCTGGCAATTCCTACCTTTGAAACAGACTAAACAATATCAGCAAAGAGAATAATGACTGAAGAATTATTTCATTTTAGCCAACCATTGATGAACCACTCTCCTTGCTCATGAGGCGTGAACGGGTAACGGAGCTGCCATGGCGAGATAGTTGGTCACGAAACTCTGAAGCCATGAAATAATACAGTATTGGGTCCAAAAGGCAGCAGATACTTGCAAGGCAAAGGCAAAAAGGATGAAAATATAGCGTGCTTTTGACAATGGAACAACTGGTAATGATGCTTTCCTTAACCATGGTGTAAAAAATGAAGTTAATATGATAAGGAGTGAAGCAGATAACAAAGACAGCAGCACACATGAAAACCATCCGCAGTGCTTTTTTTCTCTCACTAATCCCTTGAAAAGCAATCGGTGGCTGTTTCAAGGATATAGTTGTTTTCCAGGTACAACAAGCGATGGTGATCACTGGAATCACAAATCCAGCCAGCTCTGCAACTGTAACCATAGTGACCATATTCACTGCATCCATCTGTTTGTATCCAAGATCAGCAAAGCAGGATTCCGTGTTGTTGGCTAAGCCAGCACTTCTTAGGATGGGAAATGGCAAACAGGCAGTCCCCACAATGACCCAGATGGCAGCACTGATGGCCACATCATACCTACGCTTCCAGTTTCTGGCTTTGAATGGCTTGAGAAGAAAGAGGCACCTCTGAAGGCTGATGCATGTCAGGAAGCAAATGCTGGCATACATGTTGAGATATTTCAGATAAAAGCAGAGCAGGCAAAGGACCCTCTGAAATGGCCAGTGACGGTTGATATAATAGTAAATCCGGAGAGGTAAGGACAAGATGTGAGCGAGATCTGCCACTGAGAGATTGATCATGAAAATGATGGCCTTATTCTTCTTGCTGATGAAGCGGCACAGAACCCACAGGGCTGCACTGTTAGCCAGGAGACCAGGGATGAATATGAAGATATAGGTAGTTGCATAGAGTGAGTACTGAAATGTCGGATGTGTAACATTGCAATTGCTCTCAGCAGTGCTGGTACTGTTGCTGCCCATTTTGAATATTTCAGTATGTTCATCAAGATAAATGGTGGAATTATGGCTCCTGTCCAAACAAAAATTAAAAAGCACAGTGGTTATGTAACACTTTGGTGAGTATTTAGGGCTCTCTTTCACGCTGAGATATAGAATATTCCACTTAGGGACAACTCACAGATATATAAGTGGAGACTCAAAGAAGATGCACTACTGACCCAACATTGCACAGTAAATCAGTTAAGAAATAGAAATGTGCCTTTATATGTTTTTATATTGTTCTTACCATAGCAAAGACATTGTGGCAACTAATATATTCCTTAACTTGGTTCTCCAGCATTACAAAATGTCCTTGCATCCACGAGTTTGTATTGGCACTGATCTGGCTGACTTGGGGAACCTGAGAATATGACATTCTCATTATTTTATCATAACAGTTTGTTACTATAGGGTCCTCTTGAAGTGACTTATATCCCCAGGCTTGTGGTCCATTCTCATTTTACATGAAAAACTACAGTACTGTATGATTGTAGCTACTGAACTATGATTACTTCCTTATTGTAACCTTAGACGTATAGTCCTCAGGTCTCCTCTGAAGAATCATATACCATTATATATGTAAGTCTGCATACATATACATATATACTTTAAATAAAATGTTCTTATTTAGACTGACAATACTCCCCCCAAGAGCTGTAGGCTATCTAGCAAAACCCCATTGCCAGACATGAGAAGCCTCTTTTGAGTTGTTGGGCTATCAAATTGACTCTCAAAAGATAGGCTATTGCTGTTGTCCTTGCTTAACAGAGCTGAAAGGTAAGTCCCTACAGCTGAAGGCACCATGCACTTTGGACACGGGACTTAGAAAACATGAACTGTATTTCTCCTTCAGGACTATCATTCATGGTACCAAAAGACACCATGCAAACTACAAAGGAAGTGAGCAACTGATAGCTATTATGACTTTGAATCACAGCAACAAACAGCATGAAATGACAATCCAAAGGGTGAGATACTGTCATGAACATTTGCTGGTAACCAACAACTCTCTAACTTGGACTTAAGACCCAGTCAGCAAGAAGGAAATCATGCCTGCTACTGGAAACCTAGTCACCTGAAGTGACTAGGCTAGTGAAGTCATGAATCTTGGAGGAGAACCTATAGCTGACATTTCACTAAGGCAGCATAATTCCTAACAACATTGTAAATATTCATTCCACCTACATCTAAGTGTATCCCTCACACCTCATCAAGAAAACCTCTATTTGTAATAGACAGAGATGATTAAAACCACAACAAACTCAAATGTAGTGTTGTGGACCCAAATCCTAAGGGATATACCTACAGTTCAACTCCTGCCTCTAAGGCTCAGAGATCATTGAGAAAGAGGGGATGGAAAGACTGTAAGAGCCATAGGAACAGGAAGTTTGCTGTGTGATTGTATCTCTTAGAATTGTCAGAGGATCTATACCCATAAAGTCTCCTCAACATGACTACCTAAACATGAGCTGAAAAAAAAATATATACCATCAATAGACGTTAGTGTGGATGAGGACAAACTTATGACGCCATAACCATAGTCAGAGAACTATAAACAACTAAGGATGCTGGGAGAAACAGTCTTCCTCAGGGAAAGAGCAATACTAATTGATTATCCAATGCCAAATGGTTAGTCTTGAGCGCATATACTAACAAGTATCATTCTATGTACTGAGAAGGTTATACTTATATCTTTTGGAGTGTGTACACACACACATACACACACACACACACACACACACACACACACACACACACACAGACTCCCTAACAACAAAAAGATCATGAATTTGAGAAAAAGTAAATTGGGTACATTTAGAAGTTGGAGGAAGCAAAGGTAAAAAGGGAAATGATGTAATTATATTATAATCTCAATATATTATTTAATTTTAAAAGAATCTTATACTAGTGCAACAAAGGCAGTGAAAACATTATTCAGCAGTCACAGTGAGCATTGCCTTAGCAACAGTAAAACAGGCCATCCAAACTTTTTGAAAACAACTTAAAATTTAATTTTTTATTCATTAAAGTAATCATCATAAGAAAAAAAGGAAATCAACCAAGCAAGGAAGCAAGCATGGCCTGGTCTTGTTTATGACATGATGTAGCTAGTTGTATGTTATGTTTATTTACTACAATGGAGCAATGTAATTTTAAGTTCATTTTATTTGTGGAGGAATGGCATCTGATATAGTTCTCGGTTACATTGTAATACACAGAGATGGAATAATATAACAGAACCCCCCCAAAAAAAGCAAAACTGAAAAAATAACAGAACCCCAAGTGATGATTTCACAGGCAGAAAATATCCAAGTACTTTCACTTTCCTACTTCTCTGTCATAGACAAATCTACTTGGCCTAGCATCTGTGATGTTCTATAAAGAGTAATGTAGTCATCCTGTGTGTATAGGGATGACTTAGTGTGGGGAGGAATTCAAGGTGGAAGAGAAGAAATCAAAGTATCATCAAAGATGTACATCAAAATCAGCAGAAGTAGTCACATAGTCACATGGTTTATGTAATTTATTATTATTATTATTATTATTATTATTATTATTATTAAAGTAGTAGTACCATCATAACACAGATGGGGTGACTAATGTTCAGAGAGATTTAAATCAGATGTTTTCTTAGTAGTGCTCTATTGCTGTGAAGAGGTACCATTACTAAGGCATTTAATTGGAGAATTGGAGGCTTGTTTACAGTTTTAGAGGCTTAGTAAATGATTATCATAGTAGGAAATAGACAATCACGGAACTGGAGCAGTAGCTGAGAACTTTACATCCTGTTCCACAGGCAGCAGGCAGAGACAGATAGGCAAAGTAAGAGCCAGAGAGATTTGCCTGGCGTGGGCTTTTGAAATCTCAAAGATCACTCCCAGTGTCACACAACCTCTAACAAGCTAGCTGCCAGCATGCAATTTCAACATCTGAGAACAGCTCAAGCTCAGTGGAATCGCACTTCCGCTTTTGCATGTAACAAACATGACTATTTGTTTTTGCTTCACTGGTGCAGTTCGTTGCACTTACTAACAGAGCACGTTCTCACCACACCTCTGAGTTAAACAAATAGAGCTCAGTTTGGAGTTTGGTCAGAACAGAATGCTCAAGTCCCGTTTGTACCATTTTTTTTTTTAATGGGTTTCTGTGCCTCTGAATCTGGCACCAGTACAACTCAGAAATTCACAATTCATCACTGATTTAGTGATTCTCATGATCTGGTTACCAAACCTCTTCTCCAAACAGAAGCTTAAATAGGAACAGTTCTCCCTCAATCTCCTCAGTGAAAATTAAGAGTAAACTCCCCATGCTGGAAGGGATGGGGAACTTTTTTTTTTTTTTTTTTTTTTGGTTCAACAGAAATATTTCACCTTGGAACAGGAATACTTAACTTGTTCTGAAGAATTTGTGTCACTTTGGAATTAAAGAAACTGTCAAGCGTTGAAGTGTGTTCCCTATTTGTCTTCTTTATCACTGCTATTTCTCTAGCTTATTGTGTGCCTCTCTAGTCCCTTATCTCTCATTGCCTCTTGCTCTCCCTAATTCTGGGTAGCTTTTCTTACTTAATTTGCCAACATTGCTCTCCTTTAACATAAACATATTTTTGGTTCCTGTCTCATGAAGAGATGTGAAATTTATGATTCATTCCTGAGTATGTGTTTCCTTTTTTTCTGAATCTATTGCTCCTCCTATCTAGAATATCCTCCTTCTGTGTCTTAATACATCTAGCTAAGCTTAGTCCTAGTTTTCAGGTTAGAGAAGTCTTCAACATTTTATCTTTCAGGGTAATTCTATTTATCATTCTTAATCTTTGGAGCATCAACACTTGAAATGCAAAGGCTCATTTAATCATTTACTCACTACATCGTTCATTCTGTTATTGCCTTCATTTGTACCGTAAAAATATGATGTCACCATGTAGCTACTAAGCATTCAAAGAAGTTTGTATGTGAGTTGTTCAAAGCTCCCATCTCGATGCATTTTACAAAAATGAAAACCTTGGGGTAACAACTAGTACACTTCTGTTACCTCCTGCTTCCCTAAAATCTGTCTTCTCATTTGGATTATTAGACTGCCCATGATGTATCCTTTACTGCTCAGGAAAGTCATGGTTGCAGAGTCCAAAAAGAAGAGGGAATGAAACAATTTAGAAATCACAGGTGGTCACACATATCCTTTAGTAAATATCAATACTTCCCAAAGCCTCAGACTACCCACTCTCAGCAGCACCTCAGGAAAAAGGCAATCCTTGTAATATGCTTCTTATGGTTTCTTATACTTTTACTAATTGTCATGGAACATTATAAAAGTATCACAGATAAGTATTTCATTAGCAAATTAGCAAATTTTATGGCTTCTTCTCTCCACTTGGACTCAGAATAGTGGTGATGAGACTGAATCTACAGATCCCAAAGCTCTTGACACTTAGAAAGTGAGAATAAAAGGGAAGTAACGTTGTTTATTTAACTTTTTCTCCCATGGATTTTTGAGAACTATGACAGAATCCCATCCTATGAATCCTGTGATGGATTTTTTTTGTAAAATACAGAATCTTCATGAATTTTATCCCTATTAAGCTCATTAGAGGAATCTTTTAAAGAAATCATTGAAAGAAAAACTCTAAAATATCTATAAAATCAGTGTATCACATTCTCAAGGTGAAGGGTATGGTGACAAGGAATCTTTATCCCTGTGAGGTAAGTACAAGAGATAGCAATAATATTTCCACCATAGTTATAGCTGATGCAGTCAAGAAAAATATAGTGCCTGTTTTAAGGTCTTAAGATTGTTTTATGGTAGAACTAGAATCAGAAATTAGGTTTGTCAGCCTCTTGCTGATCTGTGTGCCATGTTACCTTGATTCTATGAAATTCTATGATATACAATATCTCAACTGAGTGAAGATGATACTTGTGCTAAGGTGTTTATACTCTATTCTTAGTCTCTACAGGAACTATAGAGACTGTCGTTGGGGGTGGGGAGGAAAATTCAGGATATGTCTGCAGAAAGATAAAGTTAAACTTAGTTTGT